TCTCTTTCCTCCTCCCCATCGTCATCCAGCTCTTCCTACTCCTCATTCTATGATTCTGTGCTTAAATATCATTTTGAAACATGAACTGTTAAAAGTAGATTAGACCTTTGTGTAATAGGTTAATGAAACTCTTGTGACGTAGAAATTGATGTGTCTGAATTCTTCTCTTCCAATATTGACATGTGATTCCTGCCAACTGTTTTCTTGGGTATCTTCTAGTAGGCAGTTATAAATTGTTTTTATAAAGGGCAAACTCTCAAAGTACTCATTTTTAATGGATTTATGATAGAGCCATCAAAGTGGAGGGTCTATATGGTAGGATTCCAGTAAAAGTAATAGGACAGTGCCATGTAAACGTTAAATACAGTGACTTCCACCTTCATAAATCCTTGATGCTCATGATTAAATGCTGCCAGTTATAAATTATACAACCAAATTCCAGACAGAACCACGATTTTAAATAAGACACCAGTGGAAAGTCATAAATTGTCTATAGGTTTTCTTTCCAGAAGACTCTTGAGAATCCCTATTTTCTTCAACAATTATTTTTAACTTTAACTTCCTAGAGTTCATTGTAGCTCTGATTAAAAAGTAATAATGAAAATCATTAGCCCTAGACAGCAGTCTGCCAGATTTATGGGGTAAAGTACCTATTTGATTTGCAGACTCATTTTAAAGCATTCTTAATAAATATAGCTTTAAGTCTCTAGGATAGTACCCTTTCTAAAGTCATATATTAGAAGTTTCTGCTACAGTCCAACTTCCCACAGGTATTTACAATCAAATTATTTTATTACACATGGGAACAATTAAGCATTTGACTCTCAGCTGTAAACAATTACTATACACAATGACATTCATGGATTTTCTTAAATAGTCATGTATTCCTAATAACCTCTGTTAACATAACTGAGATTGATGTATGTACTTTGTGTGTGTCCATAAGCAAATACATCCCATAACATAACACTGAGAGATATACTGTACTAGCAGTGTTTGAAATGGTGTGATTATCTGCAATGAAAATTTTTAACCAATTTGCTTCTGTTACACTTCTAATTCAATTCTAAAAGCCACAGATGCTCACAGCAAAAAGCAAGTAAGGTTCTGGACAACCCATTATTAGGAGATTTCTGGTGAATAGCTCTATTGTTCAAAGTAGCAGAGAAGATTAGATTAGAATTCTAGTTCTGTCAAATTTTAGTTGAATGACCACAGGCAATTTACTTTCTTCAGTCTTTGTTTTCATATTGGAAAACTTGGGGATAGTTCAATCAGAATCAGAGAACTATTATGAGTATCAATGTGATGTCTATTTAAAGAGAAAGGACACATACCATATACTCAGTGCATATTGATTTCTGCATTCTCTCTCATCTTCTTTTCTCAGAAAAGACATTAAGCTGTGGGAATCTGTTTTGGGAATATCCATCTTCAAGTTGTCTCAAGTTTGAGGATACGTTTTCTTTTCATTAGATTCCTTTTCCCTTCAAGTGACAACCATGGCGGAAGCTTGCAGCTGTTTTACTCACATCTACAAATAAGTCAACCATTTCCAGTTGCAAGGGTACGACAGCTGTATCCAGCCTTGATAGACCAGAACTGGAGCTGTGTGGTAATGTTTCAAGGGCAAAGTTCTAGATGTAAAGAATGATAAAACAAAACCTAAATGAGCCTGCACATATCTAGTGACAGATATACCACAGCTATTCTAAATTATTCAAGGTTTCCCAGACTTCTAACAAGAGAAACAAAATTAAGCTCTACTCTCTCTTATTCTTCTCTCATTGAATGGCAAAGAACAAGCAAAAATTATACACCTTCATTAAAAAGTATCTATAATAATCATCCAAACTGAGAAGAGCTTATTTAGCAATATGTAGCATTATTAAAACCATTCAAATTCTAGGAACTAGCTTTGGAGGTATAAGTTAAAAATGATTTTGCAACACTTATGGGTGATTTCCTTCCCTAATTCCATTTTGTTAGTATTTTACTGGCAAAAAGCCTGTAAAACAGTTGTTTAATTACCCAGGACATCACAAACATATGACTCCTTAGATAAGCTGTTACTGTATTTTAACAGCAATAACGTAGGGTCAAAAGTAACAATGAAAATTAATCTTCAAATAAGCAAATGTCAGCAGAGCAGCTTTGTATATTGAAAGTAATTAATAATTTTTTTTCAGGAAAATGTTACTGAAATATGTTTAGGGGACAAGGAGCTGACAACTCTTCAAAGGTATATCCTAATACTGAACAGGCTACCATTGGTGGGCTGACTGGCTGTCTACCTTATAGGCAGGACAAAGGTTTGTTCACATGTAATTTTGCAACATTTAGACACTATCTTAATGATATCACATAGTTTAGCTGAATCAATCCAGCTGAAAATTATAGCAGCATTCTAATTACTGGGCCACATGTGAAATGAAGTTTTGTTCAACCTTTTCACTTGTTATTTAGATACTGATGTTCTTGGAAAGTTTATATGAGTTATGGTTTGACAAAACTTATCAGTGTAAAGCTTCTTCTTTTCATTTTTAACCATTCATTAAGATTGAATTACTATAAAATGTGTTTGGCTTGTAACTTCCAAAAGGAATTTATGACGTGGAAACATTTGCATATTTTGATTAGTTATGATGGAAATTTGCCATACTTGTTTAGATGATGAAAAAAAAGTATACACTTCTTTTCTGAGATAGTTCATATTGTACCAATAAAATTTAGCATATTTCCTGGAAACCATTTGGCCAAGTAATTAATCACAGTGATCATTATTTTAGAAAATAGTAATTTAACTTGCATAAACTGAACAGTTCAGGCTCATAATTGCATCACAGCATAAAGATCCTTAAAATATAGCAGTGGAAAAAATCAAGTTATTATCAAAAGTTTTAAAAAGAAGAAAGTTAGCTCCAGGTGATCATGAAATTCTGTTATGTTTCTTTGGGTTTTAGCTATGAACTAAAACTACAACATCCAATCTATGAGGAAAAAATGTATACATATACATTCCCACCTCCCTCCGCCCAGGCAGGTTCTTCTCTCTGCTGCACACTGAATTCGACCATACCATTTGGTTTTAGAAGTAAACAAAAACACTAAATTTTAATCAGAAAACTATAAACCATAGACTCAGTACCTCATGACTTTCAAGCAAAATCAATAATCATTAATGACATTATTTCTGCAACATTTTGTTATTCCAAGTGAAAAACACATAGAGAAATGTGGATGTTTTAAATATAGATCCATAACATATATGTTATGTATCAGAGCATATATATTGCCTAAATGTGTTTAATGCGTTTAATGTATCTAACACTAAAACTGAAATGGAATGCTTTAAATATTTCTACAAATATTTGTATTACTTGTACACTATTGCTAATTATAGCTAATACAAGCAGTAGCTAAGGAGAAACAGAAGTTAATGCTGTATGTGTGTGAGTCCCAAACAAGAAGCTAAGATTTAATTTATGTAAATCTTTACTTAGAAATAAGATGCTAAGAGTCTGGTCAAGTGTAATTTTCACTGCTACCCATTTCTTTGTAGGCTAAGGAATCTTGAAATATACAGTGCATATAGTTAAGTCAGCTGGAACATAATATGCTTGGAAATCCTGAAGTGCTAACACAAAAAAGTTCCTTGAAAGATGACTTGTAATTAACCAAAGAGATAAAGCTACATAGTCTTTTACAATATTTAAATGTCATTGTCTACCATCTTCAGTGTGCCATTACATAGCCTTGAGATCCTTTCAAAAACAATCAATAGAGAATGAATAAGTTTTCCCACTTGAAAGTAGCTAGGAAAGGAAGCCAACAGAATACTCTGGCTTGGCTGGATTGATTCAAGAACTGACACAATATCCCCCCCTTCTCTCCTCATTCTCCTTCTCCCTTTCCAGTCCACACCCTTGTAAGAAAGACAGAAGAAAAGACAGACAGACAGACAGAAATACAGAAAAAGAAAGAAAGAAAGGGAGGGAGGGAGGAAATCTAAGGATATCAGGCAGAATTTATATACTGAGGGGAAACCCTCACACTATGGGATCCGCTATAACCATGGAAACAGACTTATGACTTTTACTTTGAAAATAAAAGAATGACAATGAAATTTGTGTGAGGTCTGTGTGAATCCAGTCCCAGATGTTTACAATGCTGTAGTAGTATGGCTGTGCAATATGAGAGGTTTCAGAAGAAACAGTACAACAGGACACCACAAAGCAGCGCAGATGCTATTGACAATGCAGACATGAGCATCATGTTACCAACAGAGAAGGCAGGCAGAAGACAAATAGCAGCAGTGGTGCCTGAAAAGCAAACTTCATGGACTGCAGTCACTCAGAGCACCATGAGGGACGTGACCAGCAAACAACACCAACAACCAAAACATCCAAACCAGGAAAAAAGCAAAGCAAAACACAACTTGTGCTCCTATTTAGAGAGGTGAAGGGGAGACTTTTGACTTTGGCTTCTTGGTTTCTCTATAAAGCCCCTACGATGGACATGGAGGAGGAATTACTTCCAGCTCCAGGAGCCTGTCCCAAAGACTGCAAAAGGAAGGAGTCATACTAGGTTTACCTGAGCCATTTTCAGAAGGGGGCGGGTGGGAGAAGGGGAACTTTTCTGGGGAATGAGATGCAAGAAAGGGTCATGGAAAGGGTCATCTGTGCCCTCACAACTCTAGGGCGCCCTGCGTGGTCAGGCAAGTGACAACCCAGGGAGCCAGAGCAAGGGTGGATTAGGGTGGCGAGGGGAAGGGTGTGTGTGGAGGAACTCGCCCCGGGGAGGGGTGCCTGCTGCAGCACCGTGTATACAGGGGGAGGGGGGTGTGATGTAGTGTGAAAGTATTCCACTTAATCATTTTACAGGGGTTGGGGACGTAAATATTTAGCTGGCCACATCTGGAACCGATTTCTACCCCCCCCCCTCCCGTATGGGGTGGGGGTGGATAATTGGAAGGAGGGGAGCGCGCGTTCGTTACTTACTGTACGGGCAGTTCTCCTTCTTGGTTCCGCTGACCTTTCCATTCTTCTCAATCTTGAGAAAGTACTTGGTGAAAGAGAATAATTTCCTCCAGCGGACATCTCCTTGGAGATGATTGTAGCTCCGTACATGCCTCCCCACACTGGAAGGAGAGGAGAAGGAAGAGGAGGAGAAGGAGGAAGAGGAGGAGGAGGAGGAGGAAGAGGAGGAGGAAGAAGAGTTGATGGCCTCCGGTGACACCATGTCCTGAGCAAGAGCTTGGCAGGTGACAGGGAAGGAAGACACCAAGAAGAGCAACAAGAAGCAGCAGCAGCAGCAGCCGGGCAGGTGGGGAAAGGCTGAGGCACCATGTGTCAGTATCCATTTCCACATTGTACTGGAGCTCTGGGCACTGGAGATTGTCTCATCAGAAGGAACATACTGGAAGGGTAAGACCTGGTGCAAGACAAGGAGATCGTTGGAGGAGGTGGCGGCTGCTGGTTAGCTCCCTCAGGGCACGTATCTGGCCAGAAGTGAATACACCAACATCCATAACTCCTTGGAAAGTGCCGGCTGCCTCTTCCTGCCGCTCGGTGCTCGGGGACCCACTGCGCGCGCGCCTCTGCCCGGGAAGGGTCTGCCCGTGGACGCTGGTGGACGTGGGTGGGCGCGGGAGCGGCGGGTGGCGGCGGCGGGTGGCGTGGGTCACCGGCGCGTGAGGTCGCTCCCGCAGGAGTTACTTTGTTCTTTTCTTCACTCTTTTCTTCACCATGTTCGATGCAAAAGGAAGAAAAGTCTCAAAAACAGATGACAGCGCGTTGAACAATACCCGCAGGTCGGGTAGAGGGGGGATAGCTGCGCCCCTCTGCGGCGGGCACTTTCGAGGGTGGTGGAGTGGGGGGGTCCCCTTCGCTGCGGAGCCCCCAGCCCGAGCGCCCCTTCTCCTCCGCAAGCTCTCTGCCCCCAGCGCCTGGTTGTTTTCTTCTCTCTCTCTCTCTCTCTCCCTCGCGTTCTCGCTCGCTCTTTGGTGGTGGTGTTGCCTGTTGATGTGAAGTCTCCCGTAGTCACTTCTTGGGAGTTTTTTCCCCCCTCTTTTATTTGGGGGGGTGGTGGTAGATGGCGGCTGATGTTTTGTTTGGCTCTCTCCACCCCCCCTGCCCCCCCACCACCCTCCTTCGCTTTGGAAAACCCGCTTGTAAACAGGTTGAAGCCTGGAGTCGAAATGTCAGTGATTCTCAGCCAGAGGTGGGCTCTGCCTCTGCGGGTCAAACCTCATTTGCAGGGGGTGGAGAAGCTGCGGGGTGGGGGGGGGGAGGAGGAGGGGGAATGGGGTGGGAGGGGTGGGGGTGGGGGGGTCAAACGGCGGTGGGACATCTGAAACCCTCGGCTGCTGGGAACGCCAAGGAGAAGGAGGAGGAGGAGGAGGAGGAGGGAAGGGGCGGGGGGTGGGGGGGGGGTGGTGGGGGGGAGGAGAGCCAAAGCCGGGGAGCGAGCGAGCGAGCGAGCTGAGTGCGCGCTGCCTTCGCCAGGAGCCGGGGGCCCGCGGGTCCCGCCTGGCCGCCGCCGCGGGCGCAGCGGCCGCCCAAGGCCGCTTCGGACTAATTGCGGCTCCAGCGTCCGGGGCTCGGCGAGCCGACCGCCGGCGCGAGCGGCCGGTGCCCCGCGCGCCCTCCGAGGGGTGCTGTGTTCCAGCCCCGACCGCTCCCCCTGGGGGAGCCCCCTGGCCTTTCCCACTGGCTTCCTAGCGCAGGATTTCTTCCTTGTGATTTCTCACCCTACGTTTGGCTGTAAAGTTACAAGTTACACGGGGGGAAAAGCTGGAGGCTGGCCTTTCCTTTCCTTTCCTTTTTCTCTCGTTCCCCGCAGTGGGAAAGGGCTGCACAGAACACAGCGGACGCCGGGATACACTGTCTCACAGCCGCAGATGATAAAGCGGTAGGCAGGAGCGGAGGGGAAAAAAGGAGGCATCGTTAGCTTCGCTTCCCTCTCCTCTGCCAGCGAGCAAGGAGGTCTCCTGCTTTAATGAATCACTGATTTCTTGCTTCCGTTGCTGAAGTAAAAAGTTCACACTTTGGCCTTCTCTGCCTTTTAAGCTCAGGAAGATTTATCGTCACCCTTAAACGTTGCCTCTCTCGCGGCGCAAATGAAATCGGGGTCCCCAAACGACCGATTTCTAATTGCTAACATGAGCCCTCCCCTGAATCACGCGTGCACTTCAAAGCCAACGCACTTTATTGAGATCGCGGAGTTTACTATACGATTTGGCTCCACGCTCGGCTGTCTGTTTTCTTTTCCATGCAATTTCCTCTTGCACTTTACTATCAAGGGGCGTTTTTTTTCTCCATCTTCAGACTGACTCTTTAAAAGTCCCTGTTTTTACAATGCAACTACATGACCAGTTGCCTTCGCTCTTCCCCCACACAATCTTCCCAACTTCCCTATTGCTCTCAGTCACTAGCTCACATCCCAGATGAGAGACCCGAGTCCAAGCCTAGGAAGTCTTTGGAGTTAAAAGTCATAAAGAAAAACAAACAAACAAACAACAAACGCTACAACACTGGCAACCCACTCCAAGCTGAGTAAGACAGGGTTCCTAAGAGATGACGTCTTAAAATTACACTTCCAGCTAGTCACAGTCTGGCTGGAAAGGACTACTGAACGTGCATTGACATCTTATGTTGGGCAGCTGGACATTGGGGTTTTGTTGACGCATATGAAATTGCCAGTATTTGACTGCTTTCCACCTACAAAAGTGGCAGTTTCATATGGTTCAACATAATAGGCTGCCAATCTAAGATGGAAACATTTCAAAGTGAACTTAGGAGTTGAACAACTGCAACTGTAATTTAGAAGGAACTAATCAGAAGAGCTTGTATACACAAGCCAGAATCCCTACAACGTGCATTTGGTTTCAATCTTCATTGTGAACTGAAGAAAACACAAAGAAATTAGAAATGTAGCGTTAGAGATGGGCACTAAGAATGAGTACCCAACCATATTGCTTAGTGATTTTAAAAAAATGGCGTTACGTGCACTCTTATAGTTTCCTGTACGTTTAGAGCTTTTGAAACAGAACCAGTTAGTGCCAGAATCAGATGTTTAATTGCATTATTTATAAATCCTTGCAATGCTTATTCAAAAGATTTCAACAATGTGGTGAACATCACAGTAGATTTCTAAGTTTAATATAATTAACTCTTATTTTTGTAGCTATTAATTGGAAAGTTAAGCAAATAAAGAACATACGTCAAAGAAATTCTTCCTTCTTTAATTAAAGCATGGATATTGAATAATGAACCCACAGTGCTAATTTCAATTTCCTAGTTCACAGTTTTATACCTGAGTAGACCAATGCCTGAAAGAGAGTATTGTCAGGGATTTGAATTTGCCTAATAGTTTAGAAAACTCCCAATGTTTGAATTGACAAGTAATTAAAACTACATGTTATTTTTTGAAAAAATATAGTTGATGAAACCATACAATAAAGATTCTGTTGTGAAAAGTTACAAAACACAGGAAGTTATTATTTTGGGGTTTCTCTGCACTGGGAACCAACACTATTGATGCCATCTTGAGGGTTTTTCTTTTTGAATAACTCACACCAGACATCCTCTCTTGCCATTCTCTCCTCTTTCTCCCTCTCCTCTCCTTTTCCCACCCTGTCTCTCTTGTGCTCTCTTCTCTCCTCTCTCTCTTTCTCACACACTTCTAATAGCTTTCTGCCCTACTTGACATTATTCAGTTCTGTCAGCCTTTAACTAGGAGTTTTATTTTTACTCTGTCTAAAATGGGGAAAAGACATCTTCAAAACTTCCACATGAATATCTGGCTGCAGCAGGTGCAGTGTTTGAAAGTCTGAGGTCCATTTCGCTGCTCTTCTGTACAGTGTGATGACAGGAAGGGCATTTACAATGCAGCCCAAAGGAAAAGCTGACATAGCTTTTTAGATTATATCGCATTCTTCTTTTCTCTCTTCGGCACAGCCTTTCTTTTATAGCACAGTTGAATCCCTAAATACCCTCCTACTTTGCATTGTTAGGTCACCTCCTAGATTAGCCCGAGAAAGCCTGAGAAAAGTTCCGCAGGAAAGATGCACTATTTAACGGAATTCAATCTCTCCCAATAGATTTGAATCACTAACATAAATGTATGAATGTAGATTATATCTCTGTAATGAGGCCTGAATCATTCTCAGTTACTTCAAAGGACTGAAATTCTACCTTCCTTTTTTAGCAGCAATAATCAGGTCTTAATGGGTTCCTTTATTAATTGTTTCTCTGCTAGGATTGAAAAGGACAGTACAAGCCTCAGATTAGAGTGGTACCTACTAATTCTAAAAGGCCGTCTTTCTCTTTTATCCAATCTCTGGAAAGCACTCTTTATTTCTATGCCCTAAACATATCCTGTTATATTAGGCCAAATCCTTATTGAGAGAAATAGATGCGGTCTTTTGTTAAATGTGGTGTCTTGAGAAATTATTGAGGCTCTTTAAAAGCAAGATCACAACAGTAGATATTAAAGAATCCTAAAATGTGGCTTTTACATGTATAGCAGGCAATCTGTGTGGGTCTCAGGAAATCTTTCAGTAGCTATTCTATTGCACTGGTTTACATTTTAAGCATGGAGTCTTTATGTTGCTCAGCACCATTTGTGGCTCAGTTACAAGATGTGTGTTCTATTATGTGTGATGTTATTGGCAGCGTCAGTAAGCTGCTTCAAATAATGCTTAGTCAGGTCAAAAGTCAGCCAGGCAGTTCCACAATGTAGACATGTGCAGGCCTTCTGAGTGTATGCCCAACTCATTCCCCTTTTCAGATATAGGGATGCCACTGGTAAGGTGCCGTGAGGGTTTATTTTGCTTCCATGCTGCAGCTAAAAATAATGGTCATACTTAGGGATATTTGGACAAATGAAAAAGTGATACATTATGATTATCATCCAGCATTATTATAGTCATTTTCCACTATTTTATTTTTAAATAAAAGGTCCAAGTAAGAGGAAAGAGATGTGGCTCCCATAGAGAATAGTCCAACACATTAGAGCCAGTATGATGGGTCCCATTCCCAAAATATCTCATCATTCGTATCTGATAATTTCTCCAAAACATCTCCAGCCCTAGGGAGTTTTGAATAGAGATACTACCCTATGGAGAGGATCCAATTCTAGGCATGAAATCTGTGTATATTTTACATATACCTTATACACATAGCCTGAAGTTAATTTTATTCAATATTTTATTTTACTCCATTTGGGTTGCAACTCAGCCTGTGAGGTCAAGTGTAGAACTTTCTACTCCTGGCTTTCTATTGGTCATTAAAAGGTTGGATTTTGATGACTTTTGATCTTTGGACTTTTGCATTGAGGATGCTCAACCTGCAATCAAATCAGATTCA